CCCCCAAAACCCCAAAACCCCAAAACCCCATTTATTCAATATAAAATTGATAAAGAATAATGATGGACTGGGTTACTAAGGAGAACCTTGATAAATACTCCGGTAAGCACTACATGTCTAGAATCCTTAAAAGGCTTTACAACTGGGTTTAGAGGATACTTTGACCTAGCTAATATGTATCTGTAGAGATCCAGAGCAGAGATATCACCCCTTCGAAATACTTGCAATTAAAATAAATATTATAACTTGCCTGCTGAGGAGCAACCATACGGTAATTTATTCATTAATGTTCTGATAATAGTTGATCACAGGAACTTGTCTCCTGACTTAGACTGAGTGAAGATGAAACCAATGACCTCAGAATTTGTAGAATTTTAATGACTTATTCATAGAAAATACGGAAGAAATAAAAGTGATCTTGGGGTTCACAAGAGTGCTAAAATCCCTCCACAAGTTCTGAAGATGCATAAATTACCTAAATTTACTACTTTTTATGATAGAAGTAAGTCAAAATATCAGAAAAATATTACCGTTGGACGAAATAAAGAGTCTCTTGAGAGCCAAGGAAAGAAGGATGTCAGCCAACTCGGCAAAGAATGCTCCAGAAGAGAACTCTTCCGGAAGTTACAGAACATCGTTGAGAAGAGACTCACTAAGAATGTCACTAAGAGAAAAGAAAAGAAAATTTCCACTGGAAAACCAAGGAATCCAGAGATTGACGAAGATCACTTTATTAAGCTCATACTTAGGAAGAAGATAGATCCTCTAAAGAAGGAGTTTTCTGACAATTCTTTGTTCAATATGAGTACCAGGATTGAGAAAGTCAGGAACAGAAGTAAGTCCTTCTATTGAGTACTTAAAGTCTTGTAATCAATATCCTAGAGAAATTCCTGTGAACTAAAAACTAGGCGTTATGGGGTTATAACTTAAATTGCTTAACTCTAATTCTAGACCATAAGACTCAGATTACTTCACCAGTAAAGATCCAGAAATTTGGGATATCTGTTGGGAATAGTAAGTACTTTTAGTGACAAATCAGGGTCGAGTTACAAAACAAAATTCCTTGATAAATCTCTGCCTGGGAACTTCAAGCATTTTAGCTCATACCACTCAGAGGATAAAAAGAAATGTGAGGTTATTTAGTATAATATTAAGATGGACGGAAGCTAGTCAAGACTATTTATGGACACTCAATGCAGTCTTATAAGCACAGACTGCTTCAGAGGAACCAGATGTTGAAGAAGCAGTAAGAGTTAATACTAGAATAGGACTACTAAAGAGAAGGATGTATATGATAGCATAAAAAGTTTTAATGGGATCAATATAAGCAGCAGGTAAGAAGGTGGTGAACTTGTTGTCATTTAATAGCACGAGTCCCAAGAGGAAAGACCAATCAGTTGGATGTGGAGTGTCTGAAAATAGATCTTCTAGTAATTTATTGTTGTTATTTGTAGATACAAGTAAAAGTGATTTGGTTTCTTATGAAACTCTTCCCCAAAAGGATGAATCCAGGCTTTGTTTTGTAAACCAAATGTACCACCCTACTATAAATCCTCCTCCAGAAAGTAACAAAGACATCAGAAACGACTTAGGAGCAATACTAGATCCGGAGCCTTCCCCCAGGCCTGTTACTAAACCAATTGCTTCAAACAAATTTAAGATAAAAATTCAGTACAAAAGTACATTTAACTTTCAAAACCTATCTAATTCTGTCTTCCTAGATAACCAGGATAAATCAATCGAGTTCCATCCATTCACGGAGAATCCTGAGGTAGCTGACAAATCCCCTTGTGTATCTCCCTTGTTATACTCTCTAGGTTATCAAGAAGAGCAATGATTCTTTACTTAGTAATTTCACTTGCAAGTTCCCTTTAAAGTCAAGTTCAAGAAGTAAATCCCTGGTGACCGTTTAGAACCAAGGAAGAGGAACAGGTTCAATTCAAGGATTGCATTGAAGAGCAGAATCAGAGGAGTTAACAAGTGGTAATTCCACAACAATTTTATAAGTGTTTCAACTAGATTTATGCATGAGGGGTTTTGGGGTTTTGGGGTTTTGGGGTTTTGTGG